GACGCGTTTCAGAAAGGCGGGGCATAGAGGAGAAACAATAATGTACAGTATGTGGAAAATAATGTGTTTTTTGAGCCTTAAACCACATAAACACATTTCATTACACCAAATACACAAAATAATGTTCTTTTTAGCAACATCATATGACCCCTTTAAGATCATTAGTTATGGATGTGCACGTCCTTTTAAAGAAACATACATTACTTTGTCCTGCAAGTTTCATAAGCCCAGTCTGATCTTATTAGATCAAGAAAAATCTTTCAGTTTTGTGTGTAATACTGTATAAAGTCAGACGTCTCACCAGTTTGTTTGGGTAGCGGATCACGACAGGCTGAACAGGAACCGCAGGAATGAATGCTCCTGAATCACACACACAAACATCAACACATTAGGATGAACAGCACGTCAGCTGCTTCTGAAATGTAGGTTTGCCCATTAGGCAGCGAGAGCACACACACACACACACACACACACACACTCTTACACACTGGGGTTGTGCTGATAGATGAAAGTATCATGTATCTACGATAGTCAGAGATAACGCCTGTTGCTGATGCCTTTGACGATAGCAAGACTATTATTATTAACATTATCATCATTATTATTATTATTATCCATCAAAAATGAACTAGGCGCCTATCTTTAGCGAAGCAGCGTGGACAGCCGCTTCTGGGACGCTTCAGAAACATGCCGTGGCTGGTATAAACACAAGTATTGACTATAATGGCTGCGATCAGCAGACGTGTGCAGTCAGTGTATTCATCAGTATTCATCAGTTTCACTGAATATAACGGGAGTGTTTTTAAAGTGCATAAACTCGCGCTAGACTGAAGTCAGTGTTGAGGTTCTCTGGTAATGTAAATGTTCTTTGCTCGTTTTCTGTAGCTTTGCTCGTTTTCTACCCTAGATAAGTGAGGAAATGTAAGCATTGTAATTAGTAACTTACTATGTTTCCATGAAATTGTTATCATGTTAAATACAAATTCAGTCATATTAAAAACATTAGGCTTCTTTTAGCCTTACACTGGTGTTGGTTCATTTTCTGTCAAAGAAACTAAGTAAATAATTAAATAGATTAGCACGATAATATCGTGTATAGGCTATCTCACAGGCTGACGATAGGACGATATGACAATTGAGCATATCGCCCAACACTAGCTCACACACACACACACACACACACACACACACACACACACCTGGTTTGAATGTGATCAGGCAGGTTCTATTGGTGCACGTCCCTTCTGGAAAAATCATTATCTGAAAAACACAGAGTTTCTGATCGGTTCACAATCATGAATCAATTCACCAAACCAACAGTGAGTCAAATCTGGAAATAAACTGCAGTGACATGATGACACACGAGTCACTGTAATGCCTCGCATATGAGGAACTGATTTAAAGTGAACTACAAGCTCACAAAGTCCCAATCATACACATGGAAGACTATTTCAGTGAGGGGATAGAAAATAATAAATAAATGTAATTGCAACTTTTTCATCTCACGATTCAGACTTTTTTTTCAGAATTGTGATGCATCAACTCACAATTCTAAGAAAAAGAAAAAAAAAAACGGCAGAATTGTGAGATAAAGCCACAATTATTACTATTTTTTTTTTTCTTCATTTTTTGGCAGAAACCAAAAATCAGAAGTGCACAAAACAAAATCTGAATTGTGAGATTCAGACATATTATATACAGTATATATATATATGACTTCAAAACGAGGCCAAAACATGAACCCTAGAATGTTTACACCTGCAAATCATCAACACATCAGTAAAGTAAACATAGACTGAATCTGAAATCATTGACTGGATGTTCATGTCATGAGAAACTTACAATTTATTACTTATATATATATATATATTTAAACAAAATGTTCCAAACCTAAATTTTCTTGGGAATAGTGTTTTAATTTATGACCTATTTTTATTTATTTTTCACCCTGGGTCTTCAATATCACTTTCCATCCTGTTTGCGTAACAAAAGTCACTTCCTTAGCGTCCCATTATTCTGCAGGAAGTGGCATCATTTTAGAGGTTAATCAACAGCACAAGCATCAGTAAATATTATTACCGAATCTGATGAAATCTGGGATGTTTTGTGGTGTTAGTTTGTATCGCTCTAAAAATTCACCGTTTGATCAAATAACAAATCAGTTTGCAAAGACCAACATTTCAAATGATGGCTGACAATATGAAAATGAACTTCAGTTACGGTTCAGATGTTATCACTAATAAGGTTAAAGTCTGAAGTGAGCAGATCTCTGAAAGCCTGATATGTAGATCTCTTTAAAGACTTCTTTAAATGAAAGCACTGTGAGCTGTGACGGTACCTGTGGCCACTCTCCTGAATGAGCTCTTCTCTTGATCTCCTCCACCGTCTGCCGCCTGGAGTCCTGATCCGAGCGCGACACGAACACGGGCCGGATGTATTTGATGAGAGCTGAGACACAGACAGACACGTTTCAGAGGTAGGACCTCGTCTGTCCCGCTGCGGCTATTTTTACTCTCCAGACCTTAATGAGCCGCTGATAGCAGGACTCAATGACACATCGAGGACAGAGTGACACAAAAAGATATTGAGCGAATCTCTCAAACCTGTCACGCTTGAGCAGAGAGAAGAGTTTCCCATTATAGTGTGAACTGTGTGAACAATGTGAACTGTCTTCCTGAAAGTAACTGGATGCATTTGAGGAGAGAAACACCTGTGTATCTGTCATTACACTGCTGCACCGCTGCATTTCTGACACAATCCCTCAAAACTAGTGATTTCATACACTACAGGTCTAAAGTTTAGAATATTTGTTTGTGCTGCACACAGAAATCTGATCTGATCATCATCAGTCTGTCTGGAGTGACATGAAGAAACAGAACAAACTGAGGCAGACTCAATCAAGAAGAACTGTGTCTCCGAGACGCTTCAAGAAACCTCCTGCAAAGCTCCTGAGAAACTCTGCTCAATTGCACCGAGGGCAAAAGCCGCTTTAAACACAGTCTTATGTTAAACTGCTTTAAATTACTTTTTTTTCCCCCACATCAATCTACACACCATACACCATAATAGCAAAGCAAAAGCAGAACTGTCACAACTTTGTAAATTTATAAAAAAAAAATAAAAAAACACTGAAATAAGTACATTGCATAAGTATTCAAACCCTTAACTCAGTACTTAGCTGAAGCACCTTAACAGCCTCCAGTATTTTTGGGTATGACGCGACAGGATTTTCATATCAGCATTTGGCAATTATCTGTCATTCTTCTCCTCACATCTTAACCTCTCAAGCTCTGTCAGGTTGGATGGGGGCAGATGCACATTTTCAGGTTTCTCTAGAAATATTTGATTGTGTTCAATCCCAGGCCGTGGCTGGGCCACTCAAGGACATTCACGGAGTCGTCTATAAGCCACTCTTGCTGTGTGCTTAGGGTCATTGTCCTGTTGGAAGGTGAGCCTTCTGCCCAGTCTGAGGTTCTGAATGCTTGGACTGGGTTTTCATTAAGGCTCTCTCTATATTTTGCTGCACTGAGCTTTTCTTCTACTCTAACAAGTCCCTCAGTCCCTGCTGCTGAAAAACAGCCCCACAGCATGAGGCTGCTACCAGCACACTTTACTTTTGGGATGGTACTCTGCAGGTGATGAGCGGAGTTGGTTTCCTTCAAACATGATGCTTAGAATTGAGGTTCATCAGACCAGAGAATATCGTTTCTCACAGTCTGAGGGTCCTTTAGGTGCTTTTTTCCTAATTCCATGTGGGTTTTCGTGTGTCTTCACTGAGGAGAAGTCTGGCCACACCGCCATAAAGCCCAGATCGGTGGAGTGTTGCAGTGATGTTTGTCCTTCTGTAGGTTTCTCCTAACTGTATATGATCATGGAGCTCAACTAGAGTGACCATCAGCTACAAGGCCCTTCTCCATCAGTTGCTCAGTTTGGCCAGGAGGCCAGCTCTAGGAAGAGTTCTAGTTGTTCCAAATGTCTTCCGTTATGGATTATAAAGGCTACATGCTTCTGTGAACCTTCAATGAAGCAGAATTTTTTCTGAAGTGTTCCCCAGATGTGTGGCTTGACACAAACCTGTTTCTGAGCTCTACAGGCAGCTCTTTTGACCTCAGGGCTTGGTTTTTGCTCTGATATGCATTATCAGCTGTTAGACTAGAGGTGCTCCGATTGATCGGCTACCGATCACTATCGGCGATAATCACGTTGGGATGATTGAGCGGTCTCTAAAAAGGCCGATCTCAAAAAAACGATCTCCATCTGATGACGCTGCTGTGAGAGGTTTGGCACGACATGCAGCGTCACCGTCTCAGTCTGGCGCAGGTGAAATCATTATAATGCTGAAGGTCAGGTACTCATTCTTCATGAACCGCAGGATTGCTTGTAATAAAGATTTCAATGCAAAAGGAAAGGCTGACTATTTCGGTCAATGGTAAGTTTCTGACTCCTGTGTGAAAGCTGCTTCTCTCACAAGAGTCACCTAAGAGGGGAATTACCCACATTTTCAAAAATGAAATTCAGGCCCTGAATAAATATCTAAAAATCCTGATTGGAGTATCACTATAAATAGTTAAATGATAAAAAGAAGGCTTTAAAAAGATCGGTATCGGTGATCGGTATCGGCAGATACTGCTTTCTGTGATCGTCGATCGGCCTCAAAAATCCTGATCGGAGCACCCCTATGTTAGACCTTTTATTAAGACGTGTGTGCCTTTCCAAATCATACCCATTCAATTGAATTTGCCACAGGTTAACTTCACTTGAAGTGAAGAAACATCTACAAGCAATACGAATGCTCCTGAACTAAATTTCAACTGTCCCAGATAGATTTGAATACTTATGCAATGGAATCAAGTTTTTTTATTTTTAATACATTTGCAAGTTTGTTAAAAACCTGTTTTTATGGACAGGTTTTTAACCTTTGTGTGGAGTGTAAAATGATGTGGGAAAACAATAATTTAAAGCAATCTAACATAAGGCAGCAACATAAAACGTGGGGGTGGGGGGAAATGAAGGGGTGTGAATACTTTCGCAAGGCACTGTATATATATGTTTTTTATAAACCAGCAACAATGGCAAAATAAGGATGAATGATGGCTGAATGAATGGGAACATCAGTTGTTCAGAAGCAGCAGAACAGAGCAGAGGACTTACTGCCCCACACTGGGATGTCTTTGCTCTCCGCTTTCATCACAATAGAAGCCATGGTCATGGTGACGGGAATGGCGTCGAAGTAGGACGAGTGCGGGCCGAGGGTGAGGATGGCCGCTTCTGCGGGCAGAGCCTGTCTGCCCTTAATGCTGATCCAATGGAAACCGCCGGCAAACCACATGACCCGCATGATGGTCCTGAGCACCACGTCCACCAGCCTGCAGAAGAGCCAGCACAAAGATTAGCCACTGATCGAGACTAATCTAGTCTAGCCGCACAATACAGAGCTCTTCACCACAACACTCTGAGTGCAAACCAGCTTTTTAGGGCCGAATGATTTGGGAAAACTGAAACATTTCAGTGTTCATGGGTTTAATTTTTACAAAAAAAAAACCCTTACAGTAATCATTAAGTGAAGCGAGTTAATAAAAAAGGACACATTTCTGATTCGTTTAATGTAACTATAAAATAAGACTTATTATTTGTTTTTTTATGATTATTGTTACATAAAAATATAAAACAAGAAATAAAGCTATGTAATAAATAAATAAATACATAAAAATAAGAGACCACTTGAAAATTCTCAGTTTCTCTGGATTTATTGGACTCATTTATAGTTATAGTTATGTGCTTGAGGAAAAACTTAATTTTTGTTTTATTCTGTAAACTACTGATGACATTTCTTCAAAGTTTTAAATAAAAATGTTGTCATTTAGAGCATTTTTTTTTGTTGTTGCATGAAATGACAATTGGTCAAAATACCAAAAATGATGCCATGTTTTCAGACATGTTTATATTAATTTTTAGACAACACAATACCAACATTTTAACTTTAGTTAAGTTAAGAAATCCATATTTGGTGGAATAACCCTGATTTTTAATCAGAAAAAAAAAATAAAACATTTGTTATTTTGACCAGTTGTCATTTTCTGTAAAAAAAAAAAAAAAAAAAAAAAAAAAAGGAAGAAATGTTGTCAGTAATTTATAGAATAAAACAAAAATGTTCATTTCACTCAAACACATACCTATAAATAATAAAACCAGATAAACTGATAATTTTGCAGTTGTCTCTTAAGTTTCTACAGAGATGTAGGATGGATTCGCCATTATTGAGCAATATAAATAAATAAATTTGGAAGAACTTATCAAACCTTTATAGAATAAAAGATTTTTGTGTTTGTTTTTTTAATATATTTTAATCAAACCAATCCAGAGTAAATCCAGAGAAACTGAATTTTTTCAAGTTGTCTCCTAATTTTTTCCATAGCTGTAAATTGAATTAATGCTATAATACTGTAAAAAATAGCATTCAATGAAAATGTTATTTTATAGTGTAAAATTGGGTTTTATCAACAATCACTTATTGTGAGCTACTTGCGTGTAAATGAATACAGCACCACACTTCGCTCCACACACACACACACACACACACACCAGGCACGTGCACAGGTAGGGCTCAACCTGTGCAGAGCACATGCCCTTTTTGCCCTTACACTCCGAAGTGCCCTTTTTTTTGGTGATGGTGTTTTTTTTCTCCCTTCAATAAATCAATGATATTGGTCACCCTTTACATCTGTCTGTCTGCTTTACAAATATTTAGCTAATGAAAGGTATTAAAAAGAGCTTGTGACTAAATCTTGTTGGATCCGCTCAAACTGTCAGTAAACCTCATAACTCCACCCCCTCTATCTTGACTGAATGAACTGAAGTTCCACAGCAGCTGAACTAGGTCTGCAAGGGTAAATAAAGATCGTGTTGTTTGAATAAGTACAGTGTTTTCTTTAAGCAAGAAACACTATGTCTATAAAGGCTCATAATTTATGTATTTGAAACTGAGCGCCGCGCCCATATAGCTAAAAAAATTATTTTTCTTCAAACATCATTTTATTGAACTTTGTGTCATAATGTATGTGTATATATATACAGTGGGTACGGAAAGTATTCAGACCCCCTCACACACTCACTCACACACACACTCACACACACATATATATATATATATATGAGAGATACGGACACATCCATCCCTGACAACATCTGAATGTAAACTGGTCAGGCCTGCGTTTCCCAAAAGCATCGTAAGCATAAGTTGACCGTAGCTCCATCGGTGGCAATGGGTCTACAATGTACTTAGGCTGACGATGCTTTTGAGAAAAGCAGCTCTGATCACTCAACATGGCTAAGTTTAAATGGACAGCAGACTTTACATTGCACTGCAGATCTGCATTAAAAAAGCATCATCAAAGTATTACTGAGTCTGGATCTGTTTATCCCCTCTCACAGCTCAATGAAGTCACGTGAGCTTATCAGCAGTTATTAACATTGCTGGACGTAATTTGCATCATCCAGTTCTTTTTGATTACCAGTTTTGATTCCAATGTGATTAAAAAAAATAAGTCACACATTTAGATATCAAACAGCTGAATACCATGAACAAAAATCAGCCGGCTGCATAAAAACTGGACTCGTTTAAGAGCTGTTTGTGTGCAAAATAGAGCTGCACGATTCTGGATAAATTGTGATTTTTTATTTATTTATTTATTTATTTAATGGAAGTTGTGGTTCTCACGATTCTGAAGAAAAATCATTAGACAACTAAAAAAAAAAAAAAACAGTCATTTACTTGTTTAAATACTGGATGAATCAGCGTTTTTGAATCATTCTCTTGAATAATCCAAAGACAAATACATTTTAACAGCCCCTTTTCGCCACCTACTGGTGTAACAATGTAATGATAAATCTTTATTTGAACTGAATTACTTTCAAAAGGTGATTTACTCTATTTTGATCGCTTCTGTACACATCATATTTGATATCCGAACAGGAAACTTTTATCCCACCACTTCTATGATTATCTGAATGTTTGTAAAACAGAAATAATGATTCTGTGTTGTTCACGTTGGTGTTTGAATCGTGTTCGTGATGTTTAACGATCTATTAAATTAAAGTGCTTTGGGGGAGACACCTCTCTTGCAACATGTTTAGCTTATCACAAATATTATACTAAGCTTTGTCGGCTTCTGATCACAAGTGTAGCCAAACTTTGGAGCACTGAGATAAGCGAGGAAGGTCCTGGCAGATCAATTCAATTCAATTCAATTCAATTCATGTGACACTGAAGACTGGAGTAATGATGCTTTGATCACAGCAATCAATTACAGTTTAACAGATATTCACATAGAAAACAGCTAGCATAAACTGCAATAATATTTCACATTTTTACTATTTTTACTGTAGTGGTGAGCAGAAGTCTTACTGACCCCAAACTTTTGAACCATAGTGTGATACTAATAAAGCAGGACTCTTTGGAAGCGCTCTTCTTCTATTTGCATTGGGTGACAGAAACAGAAGTTGTTTAGCTGTGATTGTGCTGCACTGCTCACTTCAGTTCTCTCAGCAACTTCCTGATTTACCAAATAGAGGATCTGAAGTAAAATTCATCTCACCACAGACAAACTATAAACTCTACAGCAAGAGGAGCGAAGGAAATACGCAAAGAAGCGCTGTGAATCTGAACGAATAAATACTGGCTGTTATTCTGAGCTGAAATGAAGCAGAGCAGCTCTTTACTTTCTCCATAAGCACTGCGGCTCCACCGCCGTCTCGGAGCGGCCCACCGAAGCGATGAAGGCAAACGGCCAGGCCAGCAGCATCATGAACGCTGCTATGAAGAGCCGGATGGGGAAGAGCGTCACCGTCATCAAACCGATCTGCAAAGAAAACACACCACACACACAAAGCTGTTAAATGAAGCATTTCTACAGATCTTCCTGTTCTAAGCTCCTGAGGGTCAAACCCGAGTTCAGAGTTCATTATACTATCAAAACAGAGTGAAACTTTCAGAGCTCAACACTTCCTCTCAGCAACGTCTTGAGAAACATGACTCGAGTCTTGAGGTTAGTTTCCAGCGTTAACCAAACGCTGCATTCACACTCGTCTCAAGTGTGTTTCTGGCCTACGGTTCATAGTGAGGGTGGAAAATAAACATTCAAACATAAATGACGACTAATGAAACAACTTCACTAACATCGTAGGTGGATTTTAGGGGGAAAAAAGAAATAGGCCTATTTAAAAATGAAATTAAAATATGTGATGTGAACTGTTTAAGACACTTTAGATGATTTCTTCAAATGTTAAAGCTTGCACATCCAAGAAATTAAAATAATGCATGAAAAAAAACACTGTTGGTCCCAAGAATATTTAATAATTCATTAAATGTTAAAGAACATTTAATTGGTGACTGTTTTTAATGACTTTTTCATTGGATCATGCATATCCAAAAAAACAATGTAACTCAGGCAACCAAAAAAAATAACAAACAATGCATAAGAATGTCAGCAAAATGTTGCTCTCAAAATATTTAGTAATGTATTAAATGTCAATCTATTAAATGTTCTTGGGATCAACATTGTTGCTCTTTTTGCACTTTTGCATGACAACTTCATCTGTCAGTCAGTCATTTAACACTGATTTAATTTGTTTATTTGAATAAAATAATTGGATTTAATGTAAATGTTCTTAACTGATTGCTGTTTACATTTTATGACTTTTTCAAATGTGAAAAGATAATCTCTAGACTAGTGTGCAAAGACAACCATCAGCCATTTAACCCTGAATCAATGGATTTGCAAAAGTTACTCGTATGTTTCTATTGACAAGGCATTTGGCAGACTGTGAATCACTACATTTGTTGAAGTGGCCTGGCTGTTATATTAGTCTAATACAGGCTGTCTGGAAGCAGGTTAGACGCCACAACACAGAGAGATTGAAACGTCTCAAGATCCTCAAGGATGAAGTGTGACATGGGACACATTCAGCAGATTACAACACAAACAAACACAAGCTTCATGGGGCCCTGAACCCGTGATTATCAAACACAAGCGGCTCTTATCAGCGCAGCGGCGATACGGGATATCAGCAGTCAATATTTGCCTTGCTCTTATCAGCACTCGACTGCATTTGCACACTGATAGCTTTCAAACTGACCAATTAACAGCGCTGGAGGACGTTCAGGATGCCTTCGTGCTTTCCACTGAGCCACTTTAATTGAGTTGATCACAGACCAACAGGCTGCCAAATCCCATATCAGCTAGCAGAGGCGTGGGACGAGCTCGCTAAAAATACAGCGATCTGCTGATTCCACCAGCTTCATGCTGGACATATCACTCAAACCAGCCATCAGCTCCTTCATGATGCAATTCACTCACTCACATCACTCTGTAGAGCACAAAACAAGAGTCCTCCATGAATGGAACAGCACCACTCAAGCTGAATATTGCAATACAACACAATATAACTTCTACATCCATGCAGCATTGGAACTTAAAATGCTCAATAATCTGGAATGGAACGAAACTGCATGAAGAATAAAATAAAATAAAATTTAAAAAAATCTCTCCTTACATATGGAACAATGTGATTGCACATTTTCATTCTTTGTTTAGGGGTAAAATCCGGTTTCCCTTCTTCCTTTCATTGCAAAAACACTTGAACGAGCTGTGTCACTTTCTCAGACCACATTACTAAAGCTGCCTGGTCCTGCAGATTTGCTTTATTCAACATCAAGAAGATCAGGCCCTTTCTTTCGGAACATGCTTCACAACTCCTTGTTCAAGCTCTTGTTCTGTCCAGGCTGGACTTTTGCAATGCTCTCTTGGCAGGTCTTCCAGACAGTTCTATCAAACCTCTACAATTAATCCAGAATGCGGCTGCAAGATTA